CCCCCCCTAGCAATAAGTAGCACACTCAGGATTTGAGTACCCCCAGTTTATTTGTGCTATGCCCTTGTGTGTGTGTGTGTGTGTGTGTGTGTGTGTGTGTGTGTGTGTATTAATTTCAGAAGTGTTCTCAGATGCCTTGTTTTAGCTCTGCTGCTTGCTTCCAAACGAATGAGAGCAGTAGGAGGCTAGCCTTGGGCCCAGTCAAACATCTGGCATGTTAGCAGCATAGTGGAGTTGACCAATGCAGCTCCATGGAGGCAGCATGAACTTACAGAGCATCGGCCCAATGAAATCTCTCTGCATCACACTCGCCCCCCTCCCACTGGCTGAATGACTGTATTCTGTGTGTCTCAACCAGTGAGAGGGCTTGAGAGATGTGGGGGAGTTCAGGGAGGGAAGGCTCAGTGCTGTGTGTGCCCCCTCATGTGGGTCTCTCTGCCTACCCCCAGCAGCATGCAATGGATGTTGTGAATAATTCACCGGTGTGTGTGTGTGTAAATGAGTGGTGTGCATCTGGGCCTGTTAGCATGCGATGATGGCCTGTATTGCTAGAGAGGGAAGGATGAGGAGGGGAAAGGAGGAGAGGGCAGCTTGTAAAGAGAGCGTGTGCACATTGTGGATACAGCTCAGTCCTATGGCAGGGGTCGGCAACACGTGCTATTTTGGGGGGGGCAAAGTTTTTAGTAAAGACTGTCAAATCACCTAGAATTCAGCTAAGAATTTGTTTAATTTAGAAAATCTGTTCCCAAGTATTTCCACGAATACAAAAAGAGATACAGTACCAGTCAAAAGTTTGGACACACCTACTCATTCAAGGGTTTTTCTTTATTTTTACTATTTCCTACATTGTAGAATAATAGTGAAGACACAAAACTATGAAATAACACATATGGTCTCATGTAGTAACCAAAGAAGTGTTAAACAAATCAAAATATATTTTATATTTGAGATTCTTCGAAGTAGGCACCCTTTGCCTTGATGACAGCTTTGCACACTCTTGGCATTCTCTCAACCAGCTTCATGAGGTAGTCACCTGGAAAAACATTTCAATTAACAGGTGTGCCTTGTTAAAAGGTAATTTGTGTAGGTGTGACCAAACCTTTGACTGGTATTGTATGTGATCGTGTCTCAATGTGATCAAGGTATGGGCTTAGTTGTGGTCAAAATGCAATGTACAAATTATTATGATTATGTTCTGGCCCCCCGACCATCCGCTCCGACAGAAATTGTCCTGCGGCTGAATCTAGTTGCCTACCTATGGCCTATAGCAAGCTCTCATTTTGTGGATCCATCCGTCCATGACTGCTCTGTTTGGTAAACGGTGCCTGTTGAATGTTCATACCTGAGAGGGTTAAATCTAGACTTGGTTTCCTCTATCATAATCGCTCGTCTTTCACCCCAGCTTCCAAACTAACCCTGATTCAGATGACCATGCTAGATTACGGCTACGTAATTTATAGATCGGCAGGTAAGGGTGCTGTCGAGCGGCTAGATGTTCTTTACCATTCGGTGATCAGATTTGCCACCGATGCTCCTTATAGGACACATCACTGCACTCTACTCCTCTGTAAACTGGCCATCTCTGTATACCCGGCGCAAGGCCCACTGGTTTATGCTTATTTATAAAACCCTCTTAGGCCTCACTCCCCCCTATCTGAGGTATCTACTGCAGCCCTCATCCTCCACATACAACACCTGTTCTGCCAGTCACATTCTGTTAAAGGTCCCCAAAGCACACACATCCCTGGGTCGCTCCTCTTTTCAGTTAGCTGCAGCTAGCGACTGGAACGAGCTGCAAAAAACACTCAAACTGGACAGTTTTATCTCTACATTCAAAGACTCAATCATGGACGCTCTTACTGACACCTGTGGCTGCTTCCCTTCATGCTGTTGTCTGTGCCTAACAATGTTTGTGCTGCTACCATGTTTGTGCTGCTACCATGTTTGTGCTGCTACCATGTTTGTGCTGCTACCATGTTTGTGCTGCTACCATGTTTGTGCTGCTACCATGTTTGTGCTGCTACCATGTTTGTGCTGCTACCATGTTTGTGCTGCTACCATGTTTGTGCTGCTACCATGTTTGTGCTGCTACCATGTTTGTGCTGCTACCATGTTGTGCTGCTGCCATGTTGTGTTGCTACCATGCTGTATTGTCTTAGGTCTTTCTTTATGTGGTGTCTCTCGTCGTGATGTGTGTGTGTGGTCCTACATTTTTTTTTTTTATCCCAGCCGCCGTCCCCGCAGGAGGCCTTTAGCCTCTTGGTAGGCCGTCCTTGTAAATAAGAATTGTTTCTTAATTGACTTGCCTAGTTAAATAAAGGTTACAGTGCATTCGGAAAGTATTCAGACCCGTTGACTTTTTCCACATTTTGTTACAGCCTTATTCTAAAACACACAATACCCCATAATGACAAAGCGAAAACAGGGTTTTGACATTTTTGCAAATGTATAAAAATAAGAAACTGAAATACCTTATTTACTTAAGTATTCAGACCCTTTGCTATGAGACTCAAAATTGAGCTCAGGTACATCCTGTTTCCATTGATCATCTTTGAGATGTTTCTACAACTTGATTGGAGTCCACCTGTGGTAAATTCAATTGATTGGACATGATTTGGAAAGGCACACACCTGTCTATATAAAGGTCCCACAGCTGACAGTGCATGTCAGAGCAAAAACCAAGCCATGAGGTCGAAGGAATTGTCAGTAGAGCTCAGAGACAGCATTGTGTCGAGGCACAGATCTGGGGAAGGGTACCAAAAAATTTCAGCAGCATTGAAGGTCCCCAGGAACACAGTGGCCTCCATTCTTAAATGAAAGAGGTTTGGAACCACCAAGACTCTTCCTAAAGCTGGCCGCCCGGCCAAACTGAGCAATCGGGGGAGAAGGGCCTTGGTGAGGGAGGTGACCAAGAACCCGATGGTCACTCTGACAGAGTTCCTCTGTGGAAATGGTTGTCCTTCTGGAATGTTCTCCCATCTCTGCAGCACTCCACTAATCAGGCCTTTATGGTAGAGTGGCCAGACAGAAGCCACTCCTCAGTAAAAGACACATGACCGCACGCTTGGAGTTTGCCAAAATGCACCTAAAGGACCATGAGAAACAAGATTCTCTGGTCTGATGAAACCAAGATTGAACTCTTTGGCCTGAATGCCAAGCGTCACGTCTGGAGGAAACCTGGCACCATCCCTACGGTGAAGCATGGTGGTGGCAGCATCATACTGTGGGGATGTTTTTCAGCGGCAGGGACTGGGAGACTAGTCAGGATCGAGGGAAAGATGAACGGAGCAAAGTACAGAGAGATCCTTGATGAAAACCTGCTCCAGAGCGCTCAGGACCTCAGACTGGGGTGAAGGTTCACCTTCCAACAGGACAATGACCCTATGCACACAGCCAAGACAACACAGAAGTGGCTTCAGGACAAATCTCTGGAAGTCCTTGAGTGGCCCAGCCAGAGCCCAGACTTGAACCCGATCGAACATCCTCTGGAGAGACCTGAAAATAGCTGTACAGTGACGCTCCTCATCCAACCTGACAGCGTTTGAGAGGATCTGCAGAGAAGAATGGGAGAAACTCCCCAAATACAGGTGTGCCAAGCTTGTAGCATCATACCCAAAAAGAATCGAGGCTGTAATCGCTGCCAAAGGTTCTTCAACAAAGTATTGAGTAAAGGGTCTGAATACTTAAGTACATTTTTTAAAAATACATTTGCAAACATTTCTACAAACCTGTTTTTGCTTTGTCATTATAGGGTATTGTGTGTAGATTGATAAGGGGGAAAAAAAACAATTTAATCCATTTTAGAATAAGGCTAACGTAACAATGTGGAAAATGTCAAGGGGTCTGAATACTTTCCGAAAGCACTGTAAATAAAGTGGCGCCTACACTTGGGAGTCGGGGTGCATTGCTGCTACTTTGACTTGTGAAGGCCGCTACACACTTTACGTAATGTTATTTTTTGTTACCTTTTAACCTAACCTCCCTGTTACATACAATGTGTACATTTGTGAATCTGCAGTTATTACATCATACAGTCAGTTACATCAGAGGTTTTGCACAGATAACTCAGGTTTGCACTGTGCCTCTGACTGAACCATATGTCACAACTAAAGTAATGGAAAAGCAGACAATAGAATAATATTTGATTTTGAACAGATTATTTTAGGAGCTTTATGCTGTACATGAATCATGTAAGGTTTCTCTAACAATTCTTAGAGGTGTTAGCTAGGTGAAACCCTTTGATAATAAAACAGTGAGTGCCATTTAAAAAATGCACTCCGTGCTCCCTAAAGACTCTTTGGGGGAATTGATTTAGAAATACATTTGCTAACGTGCTTTGCCAACTTGGTTTATAGTGTTAATGTTGATTTTACTTCTCATTTTAGTGCTGATCAGAGAATTACTAGACTGAGTCCCTAGAGATTACTTCAGAGGAATTGCCTTGTCTGGACGCCAAGTTGCAGCTATGCTGTTTGGGTCAAGAAGCTTAAAGCTAAAGAGGCTTGGTTCTAATGTGTCGATCAATTAAGAGTGAAATTGAATCGTTTATTTTTTAATACCGCCCCAGTTTGTCCTGTGTGATCTTATAATATAATATAATAATATGCCATTTAGCAGACGCTTTTATCCAAAGCGACTTACAGTCATGCGTGCATACATTTTTTTATTTTTTTTTTTGTGTATGGGTGGTCCCGGGGATCGAACCCACTACCTTGGCGTTATAAGCGCCGTGCTCTACCAGCTGAGCTACAGAGGACCACAGAGGAGGACCTTGTGTAGGTTACACGCCTCATTGTCATGACCTAGCCCTTTTAGAATGTGTAGGCTATTAATTTGATATGCTTGTATGTATCACTAATTGATCCACTTCAAAGTTGTAAAGCCACTCAAACGTAATTGATTCTAAATATGTAACGTGTGACTGTTAGCTGAGCATCGTGATATTGTGTTCCCTTCCAGGAGATTGCCAGTATGCTGTGGACAGAGAGAAGAACAGAGTAATGAAGGGACAGATAGAGGAAGAGCTGAGGCAACTGGAAGATGAGATCTCAGCCTGTAAGAGGAAGCACACACACACCATATATTATATTGTATGCCATCACAACACCGACAAGTCTGACCACACTAATAGTTGGGTCTCAACTTTCATCACACTGTTCTTGTACATCTGGGTCTGGGACTGTCAAATAAATAAATAAATGTGTGTGTGTGTGTGTACAGCCTTTCCCAGTACAGGCTTCGACTGCGATACGTCTCCAGTGTTTAGCCCAGCCAACCCAGAGAGCTCCATCGAGGACTGCCTGGCTGTTCTGGGCGACCGGGTGGCCAGAGACCTGGAGACACACCTGGCATCTACTGTACACACACTCCTCAGTGCGTGAGTATCTGTTCTGTAGTGTACACCCAGCATAACGTTCTCTCTCTGTGTGTGTGTCAGTCGATGAGCGTCCAGTTGTAGTGTTGTTCACTATTCACCCTTTTAAAAGTGGTCCTCTGTAGCTCAATTGGTAGAGCATGGCGCTTGTAACGCCAGGGTAGTGGGTTCGATCCCTGGGACCACCCATACGTAAAAATGTATGCACACATGACTGTAAGTCGCTTTGGATAAAAGCGTCTGCTAAATGGCATATTATTATTTATTATTATAAAAGAGAGCAAATTAGTCAACTCAGTGTATGCCTGAGTTGACCATTTTGGTTGGGAAAAGGCATACGTTTCAGTACCTTCCAGTCCTTGAAATACGGTCATCACAGCAGTGCCTGGCTGGCTCACCTGTACTGTAGGCCTGAAGTCAAACTCAAGGTTGATTTGTGTTTCATACTGCCGTAGGGCAAGTGTTCCTGTGTAGAAAGTTCAGAACAGCACACAGACCTTGTGAAAGGTTGTATTGCATGAATAATTCTAGGTCTATTTTTAATCTGCGCTTTTTAATGATGAAATTAGATTCCAAGAATCCCTAACATAGGTTTAGTAAATGGCACCCAACCATCAGATAGGCTAGGTTACAATTCATTTTCTCAAGTTACAGAAATACAAGGACATTACTCATATATCACGTAGGCTAGGTGTGTGTCTAATCTAAGTTAACCATATTTATAAACCAGCTCTCTGTGGTACATGCATTTCAATTTCTCAAGTTACTTTCAAGGTCACTGGTGAATGATCACTGAGGGGTGTTTGTGTGCGTGCAGGTTGTGAACTTGTATAAACCAACCCTGTTATGTTTCCAGCCTGAGCCCCTGTGTGTTTGTTTGGCAGCCCGCTGGACTACGAGCGTTTCAGAGAAGCAGCACAAGACGTCTCCTGCCACACGCAGAGTGGCTGGAGCAAGGTGAGAGATCTCTACTGTTCACCTGCAGTTACTGACTCAGACTGACAACCTATTAGGTCTAGCTCAGAAACAACCCATACGATTTTCCCCTAGCTCTTAGGCCTATGGCATTTGCCGATCTGAAGAATCTGATAGGTGTAAACATTATGGTGGAAGCTTCCCTTAGTCTGTTTGAAAGGCCTGGTGGAACCATCATCATTTTGCTTCTACCCGTCATGGTTCCTTTTGGACAGTGTCTTGAACTGGACACTGCCTTCCCTGTCCCCAGGTGCTGGTGCCATTGGTGCTGCTGCAGGCCCTCCAGGGAGAAGGACAGATCCTGGCCCACCTGCTACCTCTGGGGGTCCGTTTCCTGGAGGAGGCTGAGGCAGACTACATCATCCAGCAGGGAGGATGGGTGAGTGGACACTGTACAAGGGGAGGGGTGGTACATATTGGGTGGATGGGACAGGGGACTGGCCAAAAATGAACCACTTATTAATTTCTCATACGAAGTTCAAGCAGATAAATGTTTCAGCCTTGACCTGTTGGCTGCTGTACACGGTATAGCCAGGGGAGGGCGCCAGATATCCACTGTACATGGTTGGCTATAAGGGAATTTGTCATTGTTGGTAATGAATTTTGATAAACCAGAACATAAAGATAAAACATAAGTGCATAATATGTTAACGTGGATGCTGTTGTAGGTAAATAGTTGTTGTAAGGGTGCTTGGTTTATCACCCTTCTACACTGAACAAAAATATATATGGAACATGCAAAGTGTTGGTCCCACGTTTCATGAGCTGAAATAAAAGATCCCAGAAAAAAGGTTGGCACAAATAGGTTATTTCTCTCTAATTTTGTGCACAAATGTGTTTACATCCCTGTTAGTAAGCATTTCTCCTTTGCCAAGATAATCCATCCACCTGACAGGTGTGGCATATCAAGAAGCTGATTAAACAGCATGATCATTACACAGGTGCACCTTGTGCTGGGGACAAAAGGCCACTCTAAAATGTGCAGTTTTGTCACACAATGCCACAGATGTCAGGTTTTGAGGGAGCGTGTAATTGACATGCTGACTGCAGGAATGTCCACCAGAGCTGTTGCCAGATAATTTAATGTTAATTTCTCTACCATAAGCCGCCTCCAATGTATTTTTAGAGAATTTGGCAATACGTCAAACCGGCCTCACAGACCATGCCAGCCTAGGACATCCACATCCGGCTTCTTCACCTGCGGGATCGTCTGAGACCAGCCACCTGGACAGCTGACGAAACTGTGGGTTTGCACAACCGAAGAATTTCTGCACAAACTGTCAGAAACTGTCCTGGGGAAGCTCATCTGCGTGCTCGTCGTCCTCACTAGGATCTTGACTTGAATGCAGTTCGGCGTCGTAACCGACTTCAGTGGGCAGATGCTCACCTTTGAAGGCCACTGGCACGCTGGAGAAGTGTGCTCTTCATGGATGAATCCCGGTTTCAACTGTACAGGGCAGATGGCAGACAGCGTATATGGCATCGTGTGGGCGAGCGGTTTGCTGACGTCAACGTTGTGAACAGAGTGCCCCGTGGTGGCGGTGGGGTTATGGTATGGGCAGACAACGAACACAATTGCATTTTATCAATGGCAATTTGACTGCATAGAGATACCGTGACGATATCCTGAGGACATTGTCGTGCCATTCATCTGCCACCATCACCTCATGTTTCAGCATGATAATGTGGTCCTCTGTAGCTCAGCTGGTAGAGCACGGCGCTTGTAACGCTAAGGTAGTGGGTTCGATCCCCGGGACCACCCATACACAAAAATGTATGCACGCATGACTGTAAGTCGCTTTGGATAAAAGCGTCTGCTAAATGGCATATTATTTAGTATTATTATAATGCATGGCCGCATGTCGCAAGGATCTGTACACAATTCCTGGAAGCTGAAAATGTCCCAGTTCTTCCATGGCCTGCATACTCACCAGACATGTCACCCATTGAGCATGTTTGGGATGCTCTGGATCGACGTGTACGACAGCGTGTTCCAGTTCCCACCAATATCCAGCAACTTCGCACAGCCATTGAAGAGGAGTGGGACAACATTCCACTGGCCTCAATCAACAGCCTGATCAACTCTATGTGAAGGAGATGTTGCGCTGCATTAGGCAAATGGTGGTCACCAGATACTGACTGGTTTTCTGATCCACGCCCCTATTTTTGTTGTTGGGGTATCTGTGACCAACAGATGCAAATCTGTATTCCCAGTCATGTGAAATCCATAGTTTAGGGCCTAATTTATTTATTTAAATTTACTGATTTCCTTATATGAACTGTAACTGAGTAAAATCTTTGAAATTGTTGCATGTTGCTTTTTATATTTTTGTTCAGTGTAGCTTAACACCTGTCCTCTAATCCACCCAGCATTTAATACACCCGGGACTCATTTAAAACCCCAGCAATCCTAAATGAACCTAGTTTAAGTGAAATGTAGTCTAAATATGCAGCATTTACACAGGCAGCCCAAATCTCATCTTTTGCCTAGTTCTGGGCAAGAGATCTTAACTGATTCTTCAAAATACCAATAATAATTGCTGCCTGTGTAAATGCATCCCTATTTCCTAACTTATGTAAAGTGGAACTGATAGAAGGGTCGTTCCATTTGATTTCAATCACTTTTTGACAGCTTTTAGATTTTGAATGAAACAGTCAATACATATTCACCCATGGTAGAAGTGGTCTGATTTTTTTTTTTACCTGAATGCCAAAACATTTAGGAGATGGAGGTTCTCGAAGTTGACCCATTTTGCATACCCTACCATGAGACATGTCTTCATCACTGGAAAAGATACAGTTGAGTTGTATAATTTTTAAAAGTTTACAAACAGGGTTGTCAAATTGTCATTATCTAAAAATGTCAAATCTGATGTTTTTTATTTTTTGTCTTGTACCCGTCATCAGTTGTTTTAACTGCTGTTCAGCATGCTCTTGAAAACAGGGTGGGTGTCATGTTGAGGGGCCCCCTCAACACGGGGGCCCCTCAGGGGTGCGTGCTCAGTCCCCTTCTGAACTCCCTGTTCACCCATGACTGCATGGCCAGGCACCAACACCATCATTAAGTTTGCCGACGACACAACAGTGGTAGGCCTGATCACCGACAACGATGAGACAGCCTATAGGGAGGAGGTCAGAGACCTGGCCGTGTGGTGCCAGGATAACAACCTCCCCCTCAACATGACCAAGACAAAGGAGATGATTGTGGACTACAGGAACAAAAAGAAGACTGAGCACGCCCCCATTCTAGCCCCCATTCTCATCGACGGGGCTGTAGTGGAACAGGTTGAGAGCTTCAAGTTCCTTGGTGTCCACATCATCAACGAACTATCATGGTCCAAACACACCAAGACCGTCGTGAAGAGGGCACGACAAAGCCTATTCCCCCTCAGGAGACTGAAAAGATTTGGCATGGGTCCTCAGATCCTCAAAAAGTTCTACAGCTACACCATCGAGAGCATCCTGACTGGTTGCATCACCGCCTGGTATGGCAACTGCTTGGCCTCCGACCGCAAGGCACTACAGAGGGTAGTGCGTACGGCCCAGTACATCACTGGGGCCAAGCTTCCTGCCATCCAGGACCTCTATACCAGGCGGTGTCAGAGGAAGGCCCTCAAAATTGTCAAAGACTCCAGCCACCCTAGTCATAGACTGTTCTCTCTGCTACCGCACGGCAAGCGGTACCGGAGTGCCAAGTCTAGGTCCAAAAGACTTCTCAACAGCTTCTACCCCCAAGCCATAAGACTCCTGAACAGCTAATCATGGCTACCTGGACTATTTGCACTGCCCCCCCCACCCCATCTTTTTACGCTGCTGCTACTCTGTTAATTATTTATGCATAGTCACTTTAACTCTACCCACATGTACATATTACTTAAACTACCTCAACTAGCCGGTGCCCCCGCACATTGACTCTGTACCGGTACCCCCCTGTATATATAGCCTCCCTACTGTTATTTTATTTTACTTCTGCTCTTTTTTTCTCAACACTTTTTTGTTGTTTTAGTTTACTTTTTTATTAAAAATAAATGCACTGTTGGTTAAGGGCTGTAAGTAAGCATTTCACTGTAATGTCTGCACCTGTTGTATTCGGCGCATGTGGCCAATAAAATTTGATTTGATTTTGGCAGAAATGTACAACAATTTGAATAATTGAAATGTCCATTTTTCAAATGGTAGCACAAAGATTGTTGGAGTTCCACACATCAGAGAATGTTGACAGAATGGGGATATCAGTTTTTAAATTATTCTGTAAATCTTCCATAGGAAATCTATTGAAATCCTAGAAGTATAGATAGAATATACAGTGGGGGAAAAAAGTATTTAGTCAGCCACCAATTGTGCAAGTTCTCCCACTTAAAAAGATGAGAGAGGCCTGTCATTTTCATCATAGGTAAACGTCAACTATGACAGACAAAATGAGGGAAAAAAATCCAGAAAATCACATTGTAGGATTTTTAATGAATATATTTGCAAATTATGGTGGAAAATAAGTATTTGGTCAATAACAAAAGTTTCTCAATACTTTGTTATATACCCTTTGTTGGCAATGACACAGGTCAAACGTTTTCTGTAAGTCTTCACAAGGTTTTCACACACTGTTGCTGGTATTTTGGCCCATTCCTCCATGCAGATCTCCTCTAGAGCAGTGATGTTTTGGGGCTGTCGCTGGGCAACACGGACTTTCAACTCCCTCCAAAGATTTTCTATGGGGTTGAGATCTGGAGACTGGCTAGGCCACTTCAGGACCTTGAAATGCTTCTTACGAAGCCAATCCTTCGTTGCCCGGGCGGTGTGTTTGGGATCATTGTCATGCTGAAAGACCCAGCCACGTTTCATCTTCAATGCCCTTGCTGATGGAAGGAGGTTTTCACTCAAAATCTCACGATACATGGCCCCATTCATTCTTTCCTTTACACGGATCAGTCATCCTGGTCCCTTTGCAGAAAAACAACCCCAAAGCATGATGTTTCCACCCCCATGCTTCACAGTAGGTATGGTGTTCTTTGGATGCAACTCAGTATTCTTTGTCCTCCAAACACGACGAGTTGAGTTTTTACCAAAAAGTTCTATTTTGGTTTCATCTGACCATATGACATTCTCCCAATCCTCTTCTGGATCATCCAAATGCACTCTAGCAAACTTCAGACAGGCCTGGACATGTACTGGCTTAAGCAGGGGGACACGTCTGGCACTGCAGTATTTGAGTCCCTGGCGGCGTAGTGTGTTACTGATGGTAGGCTTTGTTACTTTGGTCCCAGCTCTCTGCAGGTCATTCACTAGGTCCCCCCGTGTGGTTCTGGGATTTTTGCTCACCGTTCTTGTGATCATTTTGACCCCACGGGGTGAGATCTTGCGTGGAGCCCCAGATCGAGGGAGATTATCAGTGGTCTTGTATGTCTTCCATTTCCTAATAATTGCTCCCACAGTTGATTTCTTCAAACCAAGCTGCTTACCTATTGCAGATTCAGTCTTCCCAGCCTGGTGCAGGTCTACAATTTTGTTTCTGGTGTCCTTTGACAGTTCTTTGGTCTTGGCCATAGTGGAGTTTGGAGTGTGACTGTTTGAGGTTGTGGACAGGTGTCTTTTATACTGATAACAAGTTCAAACAGGTGCCATTAATACAGGTAACGAGTGGAGGACAGAGGAGCCTCTTAAAGAAGAAGTTACAGGTCTGTGAGAGCCAGAAATCTTGCTTGTTTGTAGGTGACCAAATACTTATTTTCTACCATAATTTGCAAATAAATTCATAAAATATCCTACAATGTGATTTTCTGAATTTTTTTTTCTCAATTTGTCTGTCATAGTTGACGTGTACCTATGATGAAAATTACAGGCCTCTCTCATCTTTTTAAGTGGGAGAACTTGCACAATTGGTGGCTGACTAAATACTTTTTTTCCCCACTGTACATTCCCATTTAAGTTGACATTCGATGGTGGGTGGACCGGCGGCCATCTTTGTGGTAGTAATCGGAAGTTAACATTTCATTAAAGAATGTATGATGTGCCAGCTAAATTGCTATGGTCTGAAAGGATATGGCTAGTCTATGAATTATATTTCTATGATTTAAAATGCCACCCACCCTGCATTCAAGGGTATGCTGTGTCTCAACAGATGGCGGGCACAACACAAACACCTCAGATGACGTGAAATAGGGTCAAAGCTACAACATATGGGGAAAAAGATTTTAGATAGACGTAAAAAAAAGTAGTAGTTTGACAACCTTGTTTGTGAACTTTTTAAGTGATTTCAAACTCAACCGTTTTGTATTTTCCAGTGAGGAAAACATGGATGTCTCATGGTAGGGTGAGGTATGAAAAATGGGTCAACTTTGAGCACCTCTATCTCCTAAATGTTTTGGCATTCAGTTCCAAAAACTCTGTTTCTGACCACTTCTACCATGGGCAAATGCACTGCATGGCTAAAAGGATGTGGACACCCCTTCAAATTAGTGGATTCGGCTGTTTCAGCCACACCTTTTGCTGACATATGAAATCAAGCACACAGCCATGCAATCTCCATAGACAAACATTGGCAGTAGAATGGCCCGTACTGAAGAGCTCCATGACTTTCAACGTGACACTGTCATAGGATCCCACCTTTCCAACAAGTCAGTAAGTCAAATTTCTGGCTTGCTAGCGCTGCCCCAGTCAACTGTAAGTGCTGTTATTGTGAAGTGGAAACGTCTAGGAGCAACAGCGGTTCAGCCGCGAAGTGGTAGGCACACAAGCTCACAGAACGGGACTGCTGAAGCACGTAAAAGTAGTCTGTCCTCGGTTGCAACACTCACTACCGAGTTGCAAACTGCCTCTGGAAGCAACGTTGGCACTGTTCGTCGGGAACTTCGTAAAATGGGTTTCCATGGCCGAGCAGCCGCACACAAGCCTAAAATCAACATGCGCAATCCCAAGCGTCTGCTGGAGTGGTGTAAAGCTCGCCACCATTGGATTCTGGAGTGATGAATCACACTTCACCTTCTGGCAGTCCGATGGACGAATCTGGGTTTGGCGGATGCCAGGAGAATACTACCTGCCTGACTGCATAGTGGTGCACGACTGCAATAATGGTCTGGGGCTGTTTTTCATGATTCGGGCTAGGCCCCTTAGTTCCAGTGAAGGGAAATCTTAACGCTACAGCATACGATTCTGTGCTTCCAACTTTGTGGCAACAGTTTGGGGAAGGCCCTATGCTATTTTAGCATGACAATATCCCCGTGCACAAAGCGAGGTCCATACAGAAATGGTTTGTTGAGATTGGTGTGGAAGAACTTGACTGGCCTGCACAGAGCCCTGACCTTAACCCCATCGATCACCTTTGGGATGAATTGGAATGCAGACTGCGAGCCAAGCCTAATCGCCAAACATTAGTGCCCAACCTCACTAATGCTCTTGTGGCTGAATGGAAGCAAGTCCCCGCAGCAATGTTCCAACATCTAGTGGAATGCCTTCCCAGAAGATTGGAGGCTATCGCAGCAAAGAGGGGACCAACTCTATATTAATACTCATGATTTTGGAATGAGATGTTCAAGCAGGTGTCCACATACTTTTGGCTATGTAGTGTATGTATGGAAAGTTTTGTTCAAATCAAAAGGGGTGCGGTCAAAAAGTGATTGAAATCAAATGGAACAACCCAGAAGTCTGGACAGTCCTGTAGAAAAAGTGGTTCTGCTGTCAATACAAATAGCTGTGTGTGATCATTACTAGGGCTGTGACAGTCATGGAATCAGCCAAATGAATGCGGTCAACGTTATGTGTATGAATAACACTTTATGTTATTCTCACACACACAGGGCAGTTGAGTCGGTAGGCTAAGGTAGTACTTTATTATCTTAGCCAACTACAATACCGAATCAACTCTGCTCAGAAAATAAACATTCACTAAAACACCTTGTGATGTCGCAGATGACTTGACTGCATGGCAGCATTTTCAGTCGGAGTAATGACTTGTCTGGAGAAATGCATTGTTTTCTGTTAATCCAATGTAATTGTGTGTTAGGCCGCCTTACTTGCTGACTGAGGTCTAAGGGCTCACACATCAATAGCGTTTGCTGGCCGAGAGTACTTAGCACCTCTGAACGTAATTTGCAAACCGAGTGCGCACCGATTTTACATGTAGAATGGCTTTAAAAATGTCGGACGTCAACAGCGGGTGGTCCCTAAAACACAGCGCGCTGAACGATCGACAGATGAACGCTAGATCCACATTCCGTGCGACGTGTGCGAGCCTTTAAGAAACCCTTATAGCGTGTGCCAGAGTCTTGTGTGGCATTCAAAGCTCCCGACTCCAGACCACATCCCCCAGGCGACGGGGGTTCGAGTAGTCTCGACTGCTTTCCTATCTAGCCCCTCTATGACTTCCTGTTGTACTGTCAACAATAATAAAATACGTGTGAGTCATAATTCCGATCTCCCTTTAAAAAAAACAATGGCTATAGTCTGGCGCAGTACTAACGATCTAGACTCCGGACCACGCATGCCCCCATGGCAACAGGGGTTCGAGGCCCATCTTGGCTACTGTCTTCTGCCCTACTACTGTCTCTACACCCCCTCTTTATTCCCCGATGTCCTATCATAAACAATACAAATACCTAAGGTTGGTAAATCCAATCTCTTTTAAGAAGAAAAAAATAGAATAAATCCTCATAGAAATCATTTTAACATAATTAATATCAGGAAGAAGGAAAGAAAATCTGGGCTTTTACCAATATTTTTTGTTTATCTATTGTGGAGGCCTGAGCTTGTGTTGTCTTAAAGTAGAGCACTGCTGCGCCACAGATGGCTTTGTTGACCGCCATGAATGAGGGCGCCGTGGCAAGGTCACATGACCTGATGATAAACTGCTAGGGTAGCCATTGTCTCTGGTTTACCTATGGGTTCAGTCCCTTGGCTACTCTAACACGGCCACATTCCCACTACATGTATGGACAGCAGGTAGCCTACCTAGCAGTTAAGAACATTGGGCCAGTAACTGAAAGGTCACTGGTTCGAATCCCTGAGCCAACTAGGTGATCCTTTGAGCAAGGCACTTAACCCTAATTGCTCCTGTAAGTTGTTCTGGATAAGAGCGTCTGCTAAATGACTAAAATGTAAAATGTTACGTCAGGGATGGACCATAGGCTGGGACAGCAGGGGAGGGGAGAGTAAGGGAGAGAGTGAGTGAAAAAGAGAGGGAGGGGTGGGGGTTGGAATGACACGCCAGTGAGAACTACTGTGCAGCGCAGTTAAAGCTCCATTACTGTGACAGCGGTGTGTGGGTCCACTTCTCTACAGCTGGGTCCTCCCTTCTTTCTCTCCACTCCTCTCTCTCGCTCTCTCTTTTGGACTCTTTCTGCGCTTCTGCCGTGCTCAGGGAAGCACAGTCCGTGTGTAGTCGCTGGGTGAGCCGAGTCACTTTCAGGTAGGACATTTATCTTATGGTTTTTGGTGGTACGTGTGTTGGTGCGTGTTTGTATAGGGGACTGTGTGAGAACATTGATCACAGTAAGAGGTGGTCGGGGGGGGATTGATGAACTCTGGACCGCAGGGAAGGGCTTGCGTCTCCGGATCTGGTTTACGGCTCATTTGACCGTGAAGGGTGTGTGGACATCGGAGTTGACATTTTGAGCACAGTGCCTAGAACACGAGAACCATCCACGGTCCTCTATGACGGAGTACTTGGAACAGAAAGTGCTGAAAACGCACAGAATGATGATTTTCCCTCCATCTATCTTGCACCTTTTTATAACCCAGTGGAAATCATCTCTATCTCACAAACCTCTTGAGTCTTATTGAGCGATTGATTGGTCGAAGTAATCACTAAGTCTGATTGGAGGCAGATTTGATTTAGAGGACAGGGGTACGTCGTGCCCTCCTTGTGACAGTTGTCCCTCCTGCTGTGTTTGGTGGCGCTGACCTTGGCCATGCCTTTTGTTTAATTACATGAGGAAACAAAAAGGATTATGTTGTGTTCACTTCATTGGGCGACAACAACATCAGCATCTCATAAATCTGACCCAGCCAGGTGGCCATGGGAGGGGGAGGGGAAGATGATGAGTAAGCAAGGGAAATGCAATACACTAGGGAAACAAAAAGGAGGACCAAGGCACTCTTCATATAATTAATAAAAATCCCTTTATTTGTATGGCATGTTCAATAGAAACAAGGTTTTAAAAAAATCTGACGCGTTTCGGCTGCATGGCCTTCGTCAGGGAGACACTAGGGAGACATTTTGAATAAGGACAGCTTCCAACACAAAATGGACTAGCATGGGTATGACTGCATTTGAAGCTGTTCCCTATGAAGGGTTCGGGTCTGGGACATACTGTAACTATGTGTGAGAGATGAATACCCTATGTAGCTAGTCAAAGAGTGAGGGGGTGTTTCTGTATTTAACTTGGCTGTTGGAAAGGTCGCTATCTGAACTTTGCCCTTGAGAACCCCCCCTACACCTTCCCTCTCTCACCCCCGTCTCTCGCTTCTGTCTGACACTATCCTGTTCTTCTGACAGCACTAACTGCTGTCCTTCAGCGGACAATGAAAACTGCTGTGTGTGTTCTGACGGGGCACTTCAGCCATGTTGTATTACATACCTTGTCATCGGTGTAATACAACTCCTGTCACTAGGAAGTGACAGGACAAAAAATGGTTGTCCGGGGGGCTAATATGTTCAGACAATGAATGCAGTAATATTAAAGTTTTTTATTTTGGTGTGTCCACCTCAGAAACTGCTCATGTGACTAGTATGACAAGTTTCCTTATATTGCTCACTCAAATAGTGCTTGACACCTTAGTTGCAGCGCACAATCGTAAAGTTGCTTGCCAAAAGGGCACAAACTGGGCAGCTCAGTCAGGCTAAAGCCCATATACTTTCGCATTTTACTGTTTGATGTCGGTAAGAATTTGCATAGAAACAAACGGGCACAAATCATATTTGGGAGTAGGGTTGCAAAATTCCGGTAACTTTCCCCAAATGTCCTGGTTTTCAGGAGGAAATAAGCAGGAAATCCAGAATACTCCAACCAGGATTTCTGGAAAGCAGGGCAATTTAAGGAAAGTCATTTTGTAATCCTATTCGGGGGGTGGGTGCTGAGAGCGTTCTGGTCTTAGTCGGGACACGTCAGGCTGCACAGCCCTCTGCCATGTTATGTAAGAGACGATTCTCTTCTGTTGTGTTTGAATGCTGCGTGCATCTCTTCGTCCTGCGGTGACGGGCTGTGCGGCAGTGCAGAGGAAGCCCAGAAATAAACCTAATATATTCTCAGAAATATCTCCAGAGGCCAGACTGGCCTACTTATAGCCTCCCAGAGCAGTGCCACCTCTGCCCCCTGCTAACGGCTAAACCCAGATCAGATCCCCCACTGGAGGACAGAGACGGTTACAATACCATCCCTGCTGTGGTGTCACTGCTAATGGCTGAAACCAGGTCAGTGTCTATGGCTGCTGTCTGATGCAACCTGCGTCACATACACTGATTATAGAGAGAGCAACACAACCTTTGATGCTGGACAACTTTTGGACGCCTGGTCTCAAGGACCTCTATCGGATGCTCCAGGGCCAAGCACAGTCCCGCTATCTGGCCATTACCAGGCTGTTGTTAAAGCCCTATTTGTAGATTAGAGAAGCGGGTCAATGAGTGCTGAGTTAATTTAGTTGGAGATGAGTAGTCATTCATCAATGTGGCTGTCTCCATTAGGCCAGCTGCTTCACATTAACCCTCCTGAATGGCTTGCATCCTGGATAAACCTGGGGTTATAGGCCTACACTCAGCTGTAGCCCCGGTATTTACTCTGAAGAAGAACTCCTCATTCTCTGCCAATCTAACACAAGAAAGGAGGCCATGCCTCTCTTGGGGGGGGGGGTAACTGGATCCTTTTTATACATTTTTAATGAAAGCTACATTTAAAGGATGTCTTACTCCTTTAGGTTAGAATTGCTTTGTTGTTCTTTAGCAGTAGTGGATTAATTGGATGAGGGAGGAAATGGGGGAATCCTGACTGGGAGATCTTATGTCACTGACAACTGTCTCAACACAGGATTTGGTCCTCATGGATCCTGCACGTCTCTCAGCGACCATATTGGTTAATCCGTTGATTAGTGAATGGCCATTGTGTTACTGTGTGCCATTGTCACTCCAGGCAGTGAGGCACTCTTGTCAATGCCTCAGTCGGCACCTCATCACACGGCACTAATTGAGAGGTATTGTTTGGATGGGGCCTTCGGGCTGAAACACTCACTACTATGGCGATTTGATTTATTAGGATCCCCATTAGCCGACGCCAATGGCGACAGCTAGTCTTACTGGGGTCCGACACATAACGAAAAATACATTACAGACAAGACTTTTACACTTATATTTTAAACACATTAACATGGTGTGTGTGTGTGCATATCTGTTACACATGTCAGTACATACACACAACAAGTATGTCACATGGGGGAGAGGCATTGTGCTGTGAGGTGTTGCTTTATATATTTTTTAAACCAAGTTTGCTGTTAATTTGCGCAATATAAGATGGGTGTTCCATGCACTCATGTCTCTGTATAATACTTTACGTTTCCTTGAATTTGTTCTGGACCTGGAGACTGTGAAAATACACCTGGTGGCATTTCTGATGGGGTAAGTGTGTGTGTCAGTGCTGTGTGTAAGTTGACTATGCAAACAATTTGGAATTTCCAACACATTAATGTTTCTTATAAAAACAAGTGACAGTCAGTCTTTCCTCAACTCTTAGGCAAGAGAGACTGGCATGCATAGTATTAATATTAGCCCTCTGATTACAATGAAGAGCAAGACGTGCGGCTCTGTTCTGGGCCAGCTGCAGCTTAACTAGGTATTTCTTTGCAGCACTTAACCATATGACATGACAATAATCAAGAGGTTAAATCTAGAGCCTGCAGGACTTACTTTGTGTGGTGTCAAAAAAGCAGAGCATCTCTTTATTACAGACAGACCTCTCCCCATCTTTACAACCATTGAATCTATATGTTTTGACCATGACAGTTTACAATCTAAGGTAACACCAAGTAATTTAGTCTCCACAACTTGTTCAACAACCACACCATTCATTACCAGATTCAGCTGAGGTCTAGAATTTAGGGAATGATTTGTACCAAATACAATGCTCTTAGTTTTAGAGATGTTCAGGACCAGTTTATTACTGGCCATCCATTCCGAAACAGACTGCAATTCTTTAAGGGTTTCAGTGACTTCATTAGCTGTGATTGTTGATGCGTATATGGTTGAATCATCAGCATACATAAACACACATGGTTTGTTTAATGCCAGTGATAAAGTCATTGGTAAAAATAGAAGAGATTAGAGGGCCTAGAGAGCTGCCCTGCGGGACACCACACTTTACATGTTTGACATTAGAGAAGCTTCCATTAAAGAAAACCCTCTGAGTTCTATTAGATAGATGGCTCTGAATCCATGATATGGCAGAGGTTGAAAAGCCATAACACAAGTTTTATCAACAACAGGTTATGGTCAATAATATCAAAGGCTGCACTGAAATCTAACAGTACAGCTCCCACAATCTTCTTATCAATTTCTTTCAACCAATCATCAGTCATTTGTGTCAATGCAGTACATGTTGAGTGCCCTTCTCTATAAGCATGCTGAAAGTGTTCATTTGTTTACAGAGAAATAGCATTGTATTTGGTCAAACACCATTTTCAGGCAGCAAGCTGATAGGTCTGCTGTTAGAACCAGTAAAGGCCGCTTTACCACTCTTGGGTAGCGAAATTACTTTGGTTTCCCTCCAGGCCTGAGGACAAAGACTTTCCTCTAGGCTCAGATTAAAGAAATGACAGGTAGGAGTGGCTATAGAGTCAGCTACCATCCTCAGTAGCTTTCCATCTAAGTTGTCAATGCCAGGAGGTTTGTCATTATTGATCGATGACAATATTTCCACCTCTCCCACACTAACTTTACAAAATTCAAACTTACAATGCTTTTCTTTCATTTTTTTTTTTTATGCATGAGTACGATGGCTCACTGTTTGTTGTTGCCGTTTCCTGCCTAAGTTTACCCACTTTGCTAATAAAGTAATTATAAAAATAATTGGCATCATCATGGTTTTGTGATCAATAAGCCATCTGATTCAATGAAAGATGGAGTTGAATTTGTCTTTCTGCCCAAAATGTAATTTAAAGTACTCAAGTTTTTCCCATTCTTTATATAATTGATCTCCGCTTCATAATACAGTTTCTTTTTTTGTTGTTGAGTTTAGTCACGTAATTTCTGTTTGCATTAAGTCAGCCAGTCAGATGTGCAGCCAGACTTATTAGCCACTCCTTTTGCTCCATCTCTTTCAACCATACAGTTTTTCAATTTCTCATCAATCCATGGAGCCTTAACAGTTCTAACAAAATATTTTTTTATTTATTTTAGGCCCAGCTTTTGGAACTTTGGATTTCCTGGATATAGCCACTATATTGTGATCACTGCAGCCAATGGGTGCGGATACAGCTTTAGGACAAAGTTCTACAGTATTAGTAAAAATGTGATCAATACATGTAGATGATCTTGTTCCTGTAGTGTCTGTAAATACCTGAACCAGATTACAGGCACTGGTTACAGTGAGAAGCTACCTCTTGAGCGGACAGGTTGATAAAAACCGGTCAATTATCAGGTCCCCAAGAAAGTAGACCTCTCTGTTTACATCACATACACTATCAAGCATTTCACACACATTATTTAGATACTGACTGTTAGCACTTGGTGGCCTATAGCAACATCCCAAAAGAAAAGGCTTTAGATGTGCCAGGTTAACCTGCAACCACAATACTTCAATAACACTTGACATAAGATCTCCTCTAAGCATTACAGGGATATGGCTCTGAATAAATATATATATATATATATATATATATATATATATATCTCAACACCTCCCTCTTAAGCATTCCTGTCTCTTCTATAGATGTTATATCCTTGTATTGCTACTGCTGTATCATCAAATTAATTATCTAAGTGAGTCTCAAATGCAAGTTATTGATTTCATGAACCTTATTTCTAAGGTTACGTATATATTAATGTGGGCTATTTTCAGCCCTTTCCTGGGTAGCTTATCAGAGATACAGACATAATATGGAAAGGGCAAACAAAGCAAGAGCAGTCCATTAATCAGTTGGTGTGTGTGTGCTGCTGTGTTGAAGCTACGAACCCATAAGCTTGGCTCTCATCACTTCCAGGCTTTTGGGAGGGTGGACAATGAGCCTGTCATGTCCCCGCGCGCTCTGGCAGCTTTTATGGCTGTGATAAGTTATTTCTTCTTCTGGCGAACAGCTTCAGGATAGTCCTTGTTGAGGAAGATGTACATTCCTCTCAAGTTCTTGGCTCTTTCCAGAACAGCTACCTTGTCCTTGAACCTCAGGAACTTGACCGCTATCGGGCTGGTGGTAGGTTTTCCAGTCCTTTGGGCGCGCTCCACATCAATCATCCTGTGGTCCATCTTCAGTTTCTCCGAGATCATTTCCCTCACTTTGTCTCGTGAAGATTCTGCAATTACGTCCACAACCATGTTCCGCCTTCATTGTCCCTCGAGATGATCTGATTTCGCCGTCATTGTTATCATGGATTCACATACAGGACTGATGTGCTCTCTTAATGACTTACAGATTGCTGTCATCTTGCCGTTCTCCTGTTTAAAGTCATCGAGCTGACCCTGGGAGAACTGCAAACGTCCATTATTGTATTAGCTGACTCCACCAGTATTTGGACGCAACAGTTGAAGCCATTTTCTTGTTGTAACAACTGCTTGTAGAACTATATATTTTTGTTCATTTTAAAAGATCCTTCACCTGTGATAGACACCACTGTCCTCAACGCTACTCCCGCTGGCTTTGGTCATTGTCATTGTAGCAACGTAGGTTACGCTGTTACTCCTCGTAGTTCCAGACAGGCCAGGTTGCAGGAAGATTGGAAACAACAAACAGCAGGGATCTAGACAGCCACAAGCCCGGGACAATCCACGGTCCCAGCCACAATGGCTAACCGCGTCGCGGGCTGCGTTCAAGCCCTCAAGAAAACCCAGCTAGCTTGATAGGCAGCTGCTACTCCAAACAGCTCGTCAGACCCGGCCTTGGTCAGCAAGATCACAGGATAGATAGTAGCGGTCCCAGCAACTGATGCCAACTGCGTCGCGGGATCCAAACTCAAAAGTTAGTTAGCTAGTAACCAAACGTTTTCAATACTTTCCAAACTTTCCAAAACAACAAACCGAGCTCTCCTTCATTCCACCTTCAACAGGAAGTGACGTGTTGTGCAATGCGTTCAAGATGATCGCTTTCACCTGGTTAGTCTAGGTCATGGAAAGTGCAGGTGTTCTTTTATAGGTCAGCTTCTGTTTTTCGGAAACTACTGAGTAGCCTGAGAAAGGTTAGGCGAACATTAGACCATAACCTTACTACTACAGTAAGTGTTCTTTGAACAAAGACTTTCAATGTGACTGAATCTAAATGGATCAGATTTCTGTAAATCACTGTGTTTCTCGTCAGGAAGGACTTTTAATTTGATAATGTAATGGAGAGGGTGATTAATAGTAATGTCATTAGCTGGCTCAATCCCTCAGGCAGCTCTGGGCTGGCTGGCTCAGCATGGAGCCTGATGTCAGTGTGAACCTTTCAGTGTCTGACTACCAGGAACTCCTCTGTTCATGTTTTGTTTCATAACCTGATAATGTAAAGTCTGCTTATGTGCAGAACACCCAGTCCAGTGTCCATGGACATATTGGCAAATCTGTACACACCAATGCATACATTTATGCTGAGCATTAACATTGGATAAAAGGACAATAAACAATTATTCTTTCACTATTTAATGGCACTAAAAAAAAAAACAAGTGAAACGAAATCAGCCAGCCTGTGACATGCATTGAGTTCCCAGTTCTAGTATTTGTATTGGCAAAGAGCTGTGGCATGTTGACCGCTACAGCCAATTTTAGGTGGCAGGCCAGGCAGCAAGTCACATGTGACTGAGACTCTGCAGGGCGAAGAGGGGATGTGTGTTTTACACTACTGAATCAGCTTGGTCCAAGAAATGCATGTTTCCCTTTCTAAAGGATCTTGAAGGATCTAATCTCTACCCGACTCCATGTTAGAGGTATCTGTCTGGGCCTAGTAGTACTAGTCCTACTAGATTTGTTTGATAACTTGTGTTATCCCTTGACCGTCATAGTAACCGTGCATAAGTTCACTAGAGGCCTAGTGTCATTCCTGAGGTATGTTTAACACATGGTTTGTTCAGGGGTTTTAACACAGCATTGTTGAGTGCATAATAACTACCTAGCGCGACAGTTGCTTAATAGCTGTTCTACCTTTTCCACCCCTTTCCTGTGTGGAGGGGCTGCCTGCCTTCCTCTCAGAGGAATGTGGGTGTGTCTGTCGTGTGTGTTTGACCTGCGGTGAGGGTTGAGAGCTGTGTAACACGCCTGACAACAGATCACAACACCTCAGTGCTCTATAGCTACGGTCTTTGTTTCAGGTTATTGGGAAGTCTCTACAGGATAAATTGGTGTTTTAGGTTTTCACAGGGAGTGAAGGTGTGGACAGTTTGGTGTCTCAGGTTTGGTGTTTTTGTATTTTTATATTAAGTAGCCTAAATATCTATTTTAGTGTTGTCTGCTGATGCTCTGTCCTTGTGAGTTGCAGAAATCACCGTTCACTTTTGGTCGTGCATGTAGTCTTATCCCAAGGTTTCAAGGTGTTTAGCTGCTAGCTAGTGAAGGTGGTCTACTTAGCCTGATGCTGGAGATGGCTTTTATTAGTGCTTTACCATATCATGTTCTTTTGAGAACCATAGATATAGAATGAAAATAGTTTTATGGCTTCAGTAACTGGGTGAGGGTCTACTACTGATTATAGCCTAAGATGCATATTGACTTGACTCACGTATAGACCCCAACGGTCGTTACTCCCAATAGATCGAGACCTATCCCTTTGGCTCTCACACAACATGGCTGCTTTATCAAATACTGCAACTCTGCCCAGAGAGGAGGGTTTTTAGAAAATGTTTTTAAACCACTCTCCCACACGCAAATCAGCTTACAGCCAGCCAGAGTAAATGCTAGACAGGGCTGGCGTTTGTTTTAATCCCCTGCCTGGCCTCCAGGGATGCAGCCTGGCCTCTCTGAGAGAATGTCCTTGTAAGGAGAACATAACCTTCAGTGATGCCATAAGCCCATAGGGTAAACAACTGTATTTTACATAGATAAAGTAGGGGCCCCATTAATGGGCTGCGAGTCCGATGCAAGCCTGTTTGAATGGAAGATGAGTGTAGCAGAGCAGTTATGTAGCCTACCTGAATGAACCGTAACAGTTTAACCTTCATCTTTTCGTGGGGGAGATGCGGTTTAGGCTGGGTCAGCTAGTGCTGTCAGATCCATCCTGTCAGGTCCAGGGCTACCTGCTGCCCCTACTTAAGGAGTTCAGTCTGTGCCCCGAGGCAGCCATTGTCACATCGTCTGACACGTGATGCAGCCAGCCAGCCACCCTAACCCAACCCAAACCGCTCCTGGCCACCTCTGCTGTGCTAGCCGCAGCTATGGAAGATCCAACTGCTCTGCCCTGATCTCTGGATCTGAGCATGGATTAGATGTGAACAGGGAACCACGTACGCCCCGGCGGATTACAGATTTGAAATATTAATCTCTTTGCATCTGCTTGCTCAGATCTGAGGGGCAGAGATATGACTGGGATTACAGGGTAGGAGGCCTGGGGAGACGCCAGAGGGGAACTCATGGATTAATACTAGGAAACTCTTCCAGAAAGTGTTTTCAAGTAGAAGTTAACTGACTGGCGTATTGTTGGGTGAATGCCAAGGAAGTGCCATAGTTCCCTAACCTCCTATATGGGATCCTATGGGGCTGTAGGAATGAGGTAGCATCATTTGGGTGAAAGGGGAGATGGGAATAGGGGCACTGACACACAGACACCGTTCAGGGATGTTTTTAGGCTGCAGGAGTCCGGGTGTTTTATTCTGTGACAGTTGGAGTAGACAAATCTGGAGTAGTAGGCAGTGATATCCCTCTAGAGTCCAGTGGAGACAGACTGTGCTCTGCCCTGTTTGAACAGAATGTCCCTGAGGCATTCCAAATCAAAGTAGGGTTCTGACTCATGCTTGGTCATTGTGTACATTACTACATTGACTCGCTGGCCTATATCTGAGCCATCCCACATCACTGTTCTACCCTATGAGAGTGGAGATAATAGCCACTCACTGAGGTTATGTGCCGATGTTAAAGCTTCCTACACAAATATCTCACCTGTTATGAAATGTGCCTGTATTTTACAGCCTCCTACCTCCCTACCAAGGCAAAGATTGACATCTAAAAACATATAGGCTAAATGGAACTATTGCATTTACCCAGATTCACTCTATAGCCATATGACTGTCAGATAACATAATGTCAGGCTTTTGACCCTGTTAGTTCCCATCCATACCACTAGGTGGCATGAAAACCATAAAGAGATGTGCATACAAACACAAACTTGTCACATCAATGATGTGTATGAACCTTGGATGACTGACAGTGGGCGCTGTATTGAAGTTACCGCACAGCCATTTTGGTACTCCTCCGTTGTAAAATAGATTTAGGAAGCTATAGAAATTTAACATCAACATTAGTTTTTGACAAGTATATTCTATTAGTCACCTTAATGCATACTTTTAAATTCTATGTGAACTGAACATTAAAAAAAAAAAGTATAAAAAAAAAAAAAGTGTATGTATATGCGTATTTATTTATATATATATATATATATATATATATATATATATATATATTAATATATATATATATTAATATTATCACACACACACACAGTTGAAGTCGGAAGTTTACATACAGTGGGGGAAAAAAGTATTTAGTCAGCCACCAATTGTGCAAGTTCTCCCACTTAAAAAGATAAGAGAGGCCTGTAATTTTCATCATAGTTACACGTCAACTATGACAGACAAATTGAGGAAAAAAAATCCAGAAAATCACATTGTAGGATTTTTAATGAATTTATTTGCAAATTATGGTGGAAAATAAGTATTTGGTCACCTACAAACAAGCAAGATTTCTGGCTCTCACAGACCTGTAACTTCTTCTTTAAGAGGCTCCTCTGTCCTCCACTCGTTACCTGTATTAATGGCACCTGTTTGAACTTGTTGTCAGTATAAAAGACACCTGTCCACCACCTCAAACAGTCACACTCCAAACTCCACTATGGCCAAGACCAAAGAGCTGTCAAAGGACACCAGAAACAACATTGTAGACCTGCATCAGGCTGGGAAGACTGAATCTGCAATAGGTAACAGCTTGGTTTGAAGAAATCAACTGTGGGAGCAATTATTAGGAAATGGAAGACATACAAGACCACTGATAATCTCCCTCGATCTGGGGCTCCACGCAAGATCTCACCCCGTGTGGTCAAAATGATCACAAGAACGGTGAGCAAAAATCCCAGAACCACACAGGGGGACCTAGTGAATGACCTGTAGAGAGCTGGGACCAAAGTAACAAAGCCTACCATCAGTAACACACTACGCCGCCAGGGACTCAAATCCTGCAGTGCCAGACGTGTTCCCCTTCTTAAGCCAGTACATGTCCAGGCCCGTCTGAAGTTTGCTAGAGTGCATTTGGATGATCCAGAAGAGGATTGGGAGAATGTCATATGGTCAGATGAAACCAAAATATAACTTTTTGGTAAAAACTCAACTCGTCGTGTTTGGAGGACAAAGAATGCTGAGTTGCATCCAAAGAACACCATACCTACTGTGAAGCATGGGGGTGGAAACATCATGCTTTGGGGCTGTTTTTCTGCAAAGGGACCAGGACGACTGATCCGTGTAAAGGAAAGAATGAATGGGGCCATGTATCGTGAGATTTTGAGTGAAAACCTCCTTCCATCAGCAAGGGCATTGAAGATGAAACGTGGCTGGGTCTTTCAGCATGACAATGATCCCAAACACACCGCCCGGGCAACGAAGGAGTGGCTTCGTAAGAAGCATTTCAAGGTCCTGGAGTGGCCTAGCCAGTCTCCAGATCTCAACCCCATAGAAAATCTTTGGAGGGAGTTGAAAGTCCGTGTTGCCCAGCGACAGCCCCAAAACATCACTGCTCTAGAGGAGACCTGCATGGAGGAATGGGCCAAAATACCAGCAACAGTGTGTGAAAACCTTGTGAAGACTTACAGACAACGTTTGACCTGTTTCATTGCCAACAATGGGTATAAAACAAAGTATTGAGAAACTTTTGTTATTGACCAAATTCTTATTTCCCACCATAATTTGCAAATAAATTCATTAAAAATCCTAAAATGTGATTTTTTTGTTCTCATTTTGTCTGTCATAGTTGACGTGTACCTATGATGAAAATTACAGGCCTCTCTCATCTTTTTAAGTGGGAGAACTTGCACAATTGGTGGCTGACTAAATACTTTTTTCCCCCGCTGTACACTTAGGTTGGAGTCATTAAAACTTGTTTGTCAACCACTCCACAAATTTCTTTTTAACAAACTATAGTTTTGGCAAGTCAGTTAGGACATCTACTTTGTGCATGACACAAGTAATTTTTCCAACAATTGTTTATAGACAGATTATTTCACTTATAATTCACTGTATCACAATTCCAGTGGGTCAGAAGTTTACATACACTAAGTTGACTGTGCCTTTAAACAGCTTGGAAAATTCCAGAAAATTATGTCATGGCTTTAGAAGCTTCTGATAGGCTAATTGACATCATTTGAGTCAATTGGAGGTGTGCCTGTGGATGTATTTCAAGGCATACCTTCAAACTCAGTGCCTCTTTGCTTGACACCATGGGAAAATCAAAAGAAATCAGCCAAGACCTCAGAAAAATAATTGTAGACCTCCACAAGTCTGGTTCATCCTTGGGAGCAATTTCCAAACGCCTGAAGGTACCATGTTCATCTGTACAAACAATAGTACGGAAGTATAAACACCATGGGACCACGCAGCCATCATACCGCTCAGGAAGGAGACGCGTTCTGTCTCCTAGAGATGAACGTACTTTGGTGCGAAAAGTGCAAATCAATCCCAGAACAACAGCAAAGGACCTTGTGAAGATGGAAACGGGTACAAAATCATCTATATCCACAGTAAAACGAGTCCTCTGTAGCTCAATTGGTAGAGCATGGCGCTTGTAACGCCAGGGTAGTGGGTTCGATCCCCGGGACCACCCATACGTAAAAATGTATGTACGCATGACTGTAAGTCGCTTTGGATAAAAGCGTCTGCTAAATGGCATATTATTATATTATAACCTGAAAGGTCGCTCAGCAAGGAAGAAGCCACTGCTCCAAAACCGCCATAAAAAAGCCAGACTACGGTTTGCAACTGCACATGGGGACAAATATCGTACTTTTTGGAGAAATGTCCTCTGGTCTGATTAAACAAAATAGTACTGTTTGGCCATAATGACCATCGTTATGTTTGGAGGAAAAAGGGGGGGGATTTGCAAGCTAAAGAACACCATCCCAACTGTGAAGCATTGGGGTGGCAGCATCATGCTGTGGGGGTGCTTTGCTGCAGGAGGGACTGGTGCACTTCACAAAATAGATGGCATCATGAGGAAGGAAAATTATGTGGATATATTGAAGCAACATCTCAAGACATCAGTCAGGAAGTTAAAGCTTGGTCGCAAATGGGTCTTCCAAATGGACAATGACCCTAAGCATACTTCCAAAGTTGTGGCAAAATGGCTTAAGGACAACAAAGTCAAGGTATTGGAGTGGCCATCACAAAGCCCTGACCTCAATCCTATAGAAAATTTGTGGGCAGAACTGAAAAAGCGTGTGCGAGCAAGGAGGCCTACAGACCTGACTCAGTTACACCAGCTCTGTCAGGAGGAATGGCCCAAAATTCACCCAACTTATTGTGGGAAGCTTGTGGAAGGCTACCCGAAACGTTTGACCCAAGTTAAACAATTTAAAGGCAATGCTACCAAATACTAATTGAGTGTATGCAAACTTCTGACCCACTGGGAATGTGATGAAAGAAATAAAAGCTGAAATAAATCATTCTCTCTACTATTATTCTGACATTTCACATTCTTAAAATAAAGTGCTGATCCTAACTGACCTAAGACAGGGAATTTTTACTAGGATTTAATGTCAGGACTAAGGTTTATGTAAACTTCCGACTTCAACTGTGTGTGTACGTACACACACACACACACACACACACACACACACACAGTACCAGTCGAAAGTTTGGACACACCTACTCATTCCAGGGTTTTTCTTTTCTTTTTATTATTTTCGACATTGTAGAATAATAGTGAAGACATCAAAACTATGCATTAACCCAATTTTTTTTTTTACATACATATATTTTTATTTGTAACTTGTCAAGGGTGTGTATTTTATTTATGGGACTTGTATTCATCAAGGGCAGGGAAACACACTACCTCTTCACAAATCACTTGACAATAAACCACAGAAATCTACATGAGGTGTTGTGATATC